ACACAAGTTTAATTTTGACACAAGTTTAAACATTGATACAAGTTTTGAACTTTGTTTGGATTTTTATATAAATAGATAAAATATTTGATTTACTTCAAAAAGCCTTTCATAAAATTATATTTTAAAAAAAAAAAATCTTAAATAATACTATTAATAAATTGTGATCTTAAAATGTCTAACTCAACTAATAATCCCAGATCATAGTAAAAAAGTGACAGTTGGTACCATTAAAGAAATTTCTAATTATTTTACTTTCATGTAGCCATCTGGTGACAAAGATAGATATATAGCAGTGTATGAAATACCTAATTTTGGGAAATCAAAAAATATTCAATTTTTGATATTAAAAAACTTCTGAAAAATAATAATATTAATCAACCAAACATTACAGTCATTAATCAAACAACACCTCAATCAGAATGGAAAATATTTTTTCCTTCAGAAGTTGACCCATCAATTCAAAAATTGTCTGTTCCTGAAGTAAGGTTGAAGCTTCAAGAGAAAAATTTGGATTTCACTGGAAATAAACTATACAGTTATCCTGTTTCAGACAATACAATAATTCTCTGTTGCTAAATAATATGAATTTGAAAAACCTCTTGGATGAAAAATTGGAACCTGGATTTGTTCTAAAGAGTATGGGAAGAAAGGTAGTAAGAAGCTTGATTTAAATGCGATTGAACAATTAAAAATCATGTTTTTGGCTGGTAATATAGAAAAAATACTCTCCCGAGGATATTTTAAAAGAACTTCAAAGACTTGTTGGAACCGACGAATTAGAAGCTGAAAATAATCCTTCTCGTCAACATCACAAAAGACAGGCGGTTGAAAATACATCATCTAATTAATAAGTAAAAAAAATTTTTTTTTTATTTATTCTTATTTTTGAAGACAATAAATCATATGTTTTTAATAAATAAATACTACCATTACACAGAACATGTAAAAATTTTTATATGAAAATTCTTAAAAATCTACAGGTGCTAAAGAGTAAACTTTTTTTTTTACTTAAGTAAAGACAAAAAAAAAACTGATAATATGTTCTTTGGGATTTGTTTTGTTTGTGGACGTAAAAAAAAATCATGTGGTGGAACAAAAACATAGTACAACTTTTCATGCAAAGGTAC